AAGTATTTTCAGTATTCATGTAAACTGCCCAAGGCACTACTGAAAAAGTTAATAACCATTTTGAATATTTTACACAAAGTTCATTAGCAACGGAGTGAAGTTATAGACCGCTTTGCAGTAAAAGAGTAAATTAGCTTCAATTCAAATCAACAGTGTTTCAGTATCAACATGAAATTGAGATTTCCTAAATGAATCGATAACAGAAACAAAATACTAATATGCACTAAACGATTCAATAAAGTATAGCAAAGTGTAATTGGAAGCGCTTTATGTTTAATTTGCTTTCGGTAATTGAAGGAGATTCATAGATAGTTTATACAATTGGTCGAAGCATCAATTTCAGAAATATATTGTTGTTTTATTCAACTTCAAACGTATATTTTATGTTTCGCTCAAAATGGGTGCAACTTATTATTGAGCTGCCTCAGTCATCTACAAATGCTTTATTATGTTCATTAATAGTGTTATAGATTAAATTAAATTAAAAGTAAATCAGAAAAAATGTCATATTTATTAAAGAAATATAATTTAATCAACCTAAGGTCAGTTATTCGACATCACGTAGAACTATTAACATCGCTTGGTTAAGATATCACCTCTAGAATTCTGATAAACAATTTTCTATACGAGCTGTTCGTCTTTGGAATCAACTAATGAATAGCATGAAGATTTATCTGAAAAGTCCCTACAATATTCAAAATACATAAAACATTATTAATATTATTTAATAACAAACAACCATTTAATCAAATTTAACCATTAACTAATAACTATTTTGCTTAAATTGGGTATCTTTTTATTTTTTATTAAAAGAAATAACTTAAAACTATTGTTTTTGATTTTTGATTGCTATTTCTGCTTTCTCCATTTCGATTTTGTTAGATCTGATAAATAAATAGCTGGCTGTTCGGCAAATAAAATTCCCCCACCAAGTCGGATTCGTTACTAATTATTTTTGTTATTTTTATTTAGTATAAGTTATGATTGTGTTTTTTTTACATCGACAGCTTTGTTTGTTTGTTTGTTTATTAAAAACTATCTGAATAGAGTGGTCCTTAAAGGTAACTCCACAGAAGAAGTTTTAAAACATTCTGTGTGTCTTAACATAAATACCCCTCTTCCTTTCCATGCTGTCTTAAGCACACTTTAAGCGCGAATGAAATGAAAACAAAAAAAATTAATAAACAAAATATTGTCAGCGCGGGCATTAAGTATACGCACAGTATGAGTATGAGACACATACAAGTATAAACAGTTTGGGGCTTTTCCCCACAGCGTTTGTCTCTTGTTCAGGTCTCGTCTATGTCTTCTATTTTATAATTTTGAAAATTTTATGCACTTCTTCGCACATTTGCTTAGCAAAATATAAAAAAACACGTACTTTGTGTATACAAAAGTGCAATGTGCGAAATTGTGCGGCAGAAATGAAGAAAATCAACGACAACGAGGGTTGAAACATTTTAGGGGCGTCTCACACTTTAGCAAATGGGCGTGTGTGGCGCCAACTTTCTTGTGCTTTATGGCATTTTGTTGTTACTCTTGTGTTTGTTTATCAGAGTCGCTGTGCCTCCCCTAAGCTAAACTTCAGGCACGTACGCCTCAGACTCCAGCCCCATACACAGTCTTAAAGCGCAAGCCCCCTGGTTGCCCCTAGTTGGTAATTAAGTTGCGTCGTGCCCGCCAACAAGCTGTCATATTATATAACAAGAGGGAGGGCGGGAGGAAGCGAAAGAGACTAGTACAGAGGACAGTGAGCCTGAGCTGAATTGTCAGTTTTATATTAAATTTCTAGGCAACGATTCGCTTTCATTTCACATTAATATTAATATTCAATTAGTCAGACCTCCTTGTCGCCTGCTTATTCCTCACACACATTCCCACCCAAGGCCTTGGGCTCTGCAATTAATGTTAATTATGCTAAGTAGGCCACTCAGAAGTTTTTGTTGCTATGCTGGTGACATAAATTACCAACAACTTTCAGAATTTCACTCATAAATCTTACGCATGACTCGCAGCAGCAGCCTTAAAGCCAAAATAAACACAATTGATTTCGTGCTGTTTGCCGTTTGTTGTTTGGTTTTTTCTCTCTTGCCTTATTTGAATTAACAAATGGCAAGCCGATGGCAATGGAAATGGCAATCGCAATAAAATGGCAAATTTGTTGGCGTGAAAATTTTAATTAGTGTCAATTGATAATGGTTTTCTGTCTCTGTTTCAGACACGCTCAGGCACTGCGTGGGAATCTGCTAAAGCTAATTATTCATGCAGCTATATGCTGAACTGTTCCATTTCAATAATAATAGTAATTGTTTAGCGTGCTTGTGAGTCAGTGCCCCAAAGACTTTAAAATCAACAAGAAATGTTTCAGTCCGTGCTATTTTGGCTTTGCAATTATAATTCATATTATTTAAAGCTTTCAATTGCTGATTTGTACCTATCGGATTTTAAGTGGCAAAAGCATGAACATAATTTATGAATATTTTTTAGCCATTTCCTGGCCTTCCTTAATAAAGTGCTTGCTAAAAGTTAGCTATCAACCTAAAAATGCTTTGTATACTAAAACAAAATGAATTCAAGATTTTGTGGTCTTGGAAAATTATGAATTAATTGTTTAAATATTGAACATTAACCACAAATCAGTGATTGAAATCAGTTGCTTCATAATTAATTGACATGTTTTGTTGTTGGCAACAGGCAGCTCTAGTTATTCGGCATTTTGTGGCTAATCTGACTGATTAGTTAATTAATTAATCATTGAACAGCATTTATTGAAAATTTTACAATTAAAATATTATTATGAAGCTTTAAAGCGGTTCATTGGCCTTATATAATTATTAAACAAAAATTTGTATTTAGTATCTGAGGATAATTATTCTAGATTTAGGCAGTTAGTCATAGAGCAAACCTATGTTGTTGCCATCTAATGATTACAATATATATTACAAAGTTCAGTATTAAAACAAGTAATCGGCCTTCATAAGGAATGTACTCTTTTTAGTTTATATTGGAATACAATGTTGTATTTAAGCAGCAAAGTAATCACTAAACAACTATTATTAGCTTAGAGTACTACTAATCAGTAAATCTGAAGTGATTATTAAGTAACTCCCTTTGTTATTTTATCATAATCATTTTATATTTAAGCAGTGAATTTATAGCGTTAATTAATCAAAAGTATAATTATTTAATATTTAAACTGTTATAAAATTAACTGACGTTCATTTATTATTAAGCAACTTGTATTAGTTAAGCATTAACTAATCAGCCTTCATTAATAATGCATTCATTTTAGTTCCTATTACGACCTTAAGTAATTGTTATTGTGATAATATAAATGCTTAAAATTTTATAGTTAACAGTGAAGTAATTTATTTAATATTTAAAAGCTTTTTGTTACGAAGCTAAGTAGTTAACTGGCCCTTAATTATCTTTAATTAACCTTTTTAGTTTAAATTATATATTTGGGCATTTAACCGGCGTTTTTCTATTGTGTATTTCTTTTAAGTTAACATTAGGAGTTGAAAAAACTAAATTGATGATAATTCAACTCTTATTTGATATTGGATCATTAAAAAATGTATAGTTAAGCATTAAGGATTGTTAATTGGCGCTTTCTTATCATTGAATAACTTATTTAATTTAATATAATTTACAAGTTATGCTTCAGCAATTAGCCATAAATCTTTCATTTGATTTCCATTTTAATCAAAGTCAACTGTCTGGTTGTAAGAAAGTTCTTTTGACTACTTCAGCCAGTAAGCCCCTTGCCTTAACTCATTCATAGTTGATCCCTTTTCTCAGTTGCCATCACCACCAGCTTATAATATAAAAGCGGCACATTAGCGCAGCCCACATGTGGTGCCATTCATACTCTCTCACTTACACCCACACACACACACACACACACACACTGGCGCACATTTATGGCAAATCTCCAATGGCACATCTGGTAGCAGGACTACGCATATTTAAGCATTTGAAAAGTTTTACAAGTGAAATCAACAAACGGTTGGCAGCTTCGGCGGCTGCTGACTTCCCAAAAATTGAGTTTCCTTCTCTGTTCCGGTCACTGCACATAAACTGAGCCAATTGGCATTCTCTTTGCACACACACACACACACGCACACACACACACATGCACCCACTGCCACACACGGCCTCACATACAAATCAGAGAGGCAGCTAACCGTGCAAACTTTTAAATGTTTGCATATCAATCTCGTATTTTTTCATTTCGTTCTTAGTTCCTGTTGTTATTATTGCCTGCCTTGGGTGTTTGCCACACTGTGGCACAACTGTTGCGAGGCCTAAACCTTGGGGAAGCTTTACATTTTGCAGTGTGCCATAGCAGTTAACTTGTTGTTGTTGTTTACAGAAATTTCCATTGCGGTCCCTCGTGTAACCCAAAAAAAGAAAAAAACCCAAACAATGAAGGCATTGCCATCACATTTCCGTACTCGAATATTTTTCACATGCGCGAAAAGTCAATTGAAAGGCATCAGTTGTTGTTGCTTTTGTTCTTGTTGTTGCTTTTTTCTACAGGTACTCGTATGTCTGTAAAATTGGCAGCGAGTTTCACGAATGAGCTTTGCAATTGAGTTTGACGTGCACCGGATTGGGTGCAAAATTGAAGGAAGGCGTATGCACAAAAGCTGCAGCGCGTTGACTGCTAACCCATTCGTAGATTGATTGATTGATTGATTGATTGATGAAAGGAACCACATTAATACCCGAAGCAATTTTCCAGAAAATTTCACGAAAAGCGTAAGACCTGAGAGAGAGGTGCAACATCAAAACATAAATAAGTTGCAGTATGGTCGACATGGCATTAATATGACATGAACATAATTTTATTTCAATAGAAACCTATAAAAATTCAATACTAGCTGTTACAAAAGACGTCTAAAGGACAGCAGCATTTTCTGTGCAAATAATTTACATGTTGAACTGTATATTTTAAAAAGTTGTCTTTCGTATAGTATATAGAAAAGCCGACTCACCTGTAATCCGCACTGGCGTAGCAATCACCCAGGAAACGGCACTGCAGGGTATTGCATTGTGTTGCCTTCACCTCGTGCTGCACCTCGTAGGTGATGTTAAATCCGTAGACATCCAGGAGGCGGTCCAGAGCACGCAAGTGGGTGCCATCGAGCGTGGACATGGTGAAGCGTATCTCCAGATACTGACTGTTGAACTGCAGCCATGTGACTTGGGTGGCATCGTCCTCGGTTAGGGTGAAGATGCGATGGGCCGGCACTTTAAAGTCATCGGAATAGTACATATATTCGGTGAACTTGAGGCCACCGAGCACATAGAGCTGCGTCAAATAGACGATAATGGAAACATTGCTCTGTGCCGTGGATGGCAAGTCCGAGGCGTCAATAATCCACACGCATTCGATGGGCGTGGCAAAGCGATGTGGAAAGTTGGGCGTTTGTATGAGACCATAGCGAGATTTTAGCAATCCTCCACAGGAGGACGTGGATAAGGAGGAGGTGGTTGTGGATGATGAGGAAGCTGAGGGGCTACCCGAATGCTCTGCAGCAGCAATGCCGGCAAATGCGTTCAAAGCAAAGTTGTGCTGTCCTGTTGGAAATGGTGGAGGCGGCGGCAACGGCACAGCGGGCAGACTAAACTTTTGTTGTTCCACGCCCTGCAGCTCATAAGCCGAGCCAGAGCTGCTGGCAATATTCGCGATGTTGCTGCCACTTCCTGGCTGCCGTTTAGTACGCACATTGCTTAAATTGTTTGAAACAAGTTGGATTTCTTGTTGCTGTTGCTGTTGCTCTTGATAGTTGACTGACAATTGTTGCAAAGTTGCCGCCGGCAGCTCCAGCACCAGCACCAGCAGCAGCAGCAGCATAAACAGCAGCAATGTCGTTGATACACTGACTGACATTGACCTGCCGTTCTTTGTCTCACTTCTGGCCCCCTCCAATGTGGGCTCGTTTTGCTGCCTTAACAACAACTGGCTTTCTTATCATTTGTTGTTGCTGCCGCTGCGCTCTGTTGCTGATATAAATACAACATGGGTTGTTGCTGTTGCTGTTGCTGGTGTTGCTGTATTGCTGTTGCACCATCACTGTCACAGCCACTCATTGACTTCTGGCCCATTTCTTGTCACGGCCTGACCTGCAAAATGAGAGGGAGAGGAATTTAAGTTTTTTGTTTAGCTAAAACCATTTTGACAGCTGTCGTTTGCATTTGAATAACTGCTGTTGCCATAGCAACGCGCTCTAACACTAAAAAATCGTAAACTGTCAGCGTGAAAAAAGCAATTTCAAAATCCACTAAAGCTGCCAAAGCCGCCAACATACAGTGGGCAGCAGTACCGCCAAATGGGTGTTAAATTTTATATAACTTTTTGATAACATTATAAATTCTAACCCGTTTGTGAATAATTTTTGAAACCAATAAACTCTAGAATTCCCTGCACAGCTGCTGAAAGCTACGCTGGCTCTAGGGCTCTTTTTCAAAGAAGTGTTGGAAGAACTTAAAGAATGGAAAATATGACAAGTTTGCTATTTAGTTATTTAAAAACTATTGAAACAACCTAGCTCATTTCAACAGAGAGCATGAAAATATAGCTTAAGAAAAAATATGTTCGAAACAACATTTTTCAAGAAGTATTATAATTTTCAACATTTTTCAACATTTTTATTTGAAATTATTAAGTAAACATTATCACTTATAGCACAGAAAAAGAAAAAAAAGTTTATCTTAAAAACAATATATTTTCCGTCATTCGTTTCTAAGTTTTTAGTCATTCTCCATACAAGACGACTATTTATAATTCGTAATTATAGATAGGTCTTAGTATAGACTAAGTATATACTATACATACATAATATCTAACCGAATGTTCTTTTTCAGAAAACAATGTCTACATAAATATCTGTAAAATAACCGACATTTTATCCTAACAACTTTCGTTTCTTCCCCTTAGGAAGAAAGCCATACTTTTTATCAAAAAAGTTGCTCAATGTCGGTTGCTAATGTTAAATGGAAATAAATTTTCTACAAACTGGTGCCCTTCGACCCACTGTGCGACATTTCCGGCACAGTCGCGCATCAATCATGGCCGTGTGCTCATAAAACAAAGGCACAAAATGCTCGCCCCGCTTTTCTTTGTCAACTTTGAAATTGTTTTTCCATATTTTTGGCAAAAATTTTACGCACTCTCCCAGACATAGACATGCCAGGGACTGGGAGTAAGTGTCAGGACTGACACTTTGTTGCTCTAGCCTGATAAGCCGGCCAGAGCCTGTCTGTCATTTGTAGTGGCGAAACCGACAAGAGTGTTTCAAGTGCTGGGCTTTTCACATAGTTTTGCCGAAACTTTCGCTTGCGTTGACAGCGGACTAAATAGCTAATAAATGCAGCCGAGAAACCAGAAAATTTGTGGCGATCATAAATTTTGAGTATGCCGCTGGGATGTTCCTATTTATGATAAAGCGTCTGCGTTACTCAAGTCTGAATTTTTAAAAGGGAAACTAAAATAGTCAACTCATCAGCTTTAATACACCACTGTTGCTAAGTAAAGTGGCTCTTACAATTTTTTAAAGTACATAAGCATTGTTCCATTATCGTGCTACACAATCGAATGCAGAAAGATGATGTTATACTTACAAGTATATAAAAATTAATGACTATAGAATAATCAAGAAATATTAAGGACTTTAAAATAAAAAGAAAATAACCTTCTGCAGTTTAAATTACTAAGCAAAATTCTATCTAAGCACATTTATTGGTTCAGTATTAAGCTTAAAAGAACAGAAAATAATTATTTAAATACAAGTATTGTACTATTATGATGAACACCTTATAAGTAAATCGATTTGCTGATCAATAAAGTTAACATACAAATATATATAAAATACTATATACCTTTACCAAAAAAAACTATAAAAAAATTGTTCTTCCTGCCACTCGAGCCAATTTATGGTTTATTGCAATTATTATGAGCATATATTTTATGCGCTCTCAATGAACATAAATATGGAAACCTACTTAAAATTCAAGAGCTCGCAATTGGCGCACACAACACGCCTCCGAAACTAGCGATTAATTAGCAAAGCATATGCACAAATGTCGCCGGTAATTAGCACCAAAACGAAATGGCATCGATAATCAAACCAGCCCAATAGCCAACAAATCCAATAAAATCAAAATAAATGTTAGTCGAAATATGCAAGCAAGGTTGGCGAACGCAAATAGCCATAATTACGGCACAAACATAGCACCTGCAACCAAATCAAAATACATACCAAGCCAAGCCAAGCCAAGCCATGCCATTCCATGCCATACCATACATATAAATATCTACAAACAGCTCGGCACTACATACACACACAAAGACACATGTGTATATAGTATGTATATAATGGATATATGTATATATATGCATGAAATGTGGCGCAGATGTCGCACAACAGTCACTTGAGCATTCGATACATAAATTATTGACTGGTGTGTGTGTGTACTGGGCCGGGCTGTTTGTTTTGGTAGCTTCGATGTGTGGGTGGGTCTGTGGCTTGTTAATAGGATTATGCATTCGGTTTGCAACTTCCTGGTTGAACGGAAATACTCGTAGTTGTAGGAGCCTGCGGCTGCCATTCGAGTCGAACTAGTAGTTTTCCTATTAAACTTTCGCTTTGTGTTAATGCCCAAGTCAAACATATTACGCATACGACGCGTGTGACTTTAAAACGCAAAACTTTTGCGTCTCTTCGCAATCTGTAAAAGCAAACAGGCAAAAAGTTTCTGTTGTTGCCTGCCACTGCTGTCATGTGGGGGAGTGCGGGTATGTATCTGTGTATGTGTGTGCCTGTGTGTTAACAAGTTTAATCAAATGACAATGCCTGTCGTAACACGTGCATACTTTCAGGCGCGCTGACACTGGCTCTGGCGCCTGCCTTAGGCTAACGGCAAGCGCCTTGCCGTCATTTCTTGCACATGTGAGCACGTATCTGCCTTAGAATATGTGCGTCTCTGTGTATGTGTGTGTGTGTGTGTGTATTTGTTGTTGGTGTGAGCAGCGAAGATTTTTACTTTGAAATTACTTTAGTTACGCATTTTAAGCATAATGAATATTTTTCCTTAGAACGCCAAAGCTGTCATGCCTGCCGAAACTTAATTTACTTTCTCTGCTCTGCTCTGCTCGGCTCGGCTCGACTCTACCTTCTCCATTTAAAAATCTCCAGAGAGTTTTTCAAAATTATTGCCTCGCTCATTTGGCAAAGGCAAGGGCAAAGCGGAGCCAAGCCGAGCAGAGCAGAACGTTGAGCCAGAAATACGCACAACATGTGTGAGCAATACACATATTATTATGGGAATGAATTCAGGCCCAGATCATCAGCAGTCTCGCCTCACGCACATGCATATATGCATGAGCACCGATTCTGCTCTAATCTATTTAAATGTTTTGTGGGCAACCTAACATTTTCAGACATCACGGCTGAATTTCTCTTAGCCCGCAGCCCAATTTAACAATTCAATTATTGCTTTTTTTATTTTTCCACAATTTCTAACAGCTTAAGCCACACTCTGGCCTCGGCTTCAGCAGAACAACTGCCAACTACTTCTTTATGAGAAGAAAAGAGAAATGTATTTTTTTAAAAACATAAAATCATAATCGAAATAACAAGTTTCTGTTCATTCTTGATTAATTAGGAAATAGGAATAGAATGATTAGCAATCGATACAGCTGACTACCGGAAAATATGAAATTAAAAAATCTTGATAAAGGAAATTTTTAATATATATAGGTAAATGAAATACAATTAAACAGTAAAGACAGTTAAAGCATATTTCAAATTTGCAGATCAAACAGCTTCTATAATTAGACGCACACACTTATTGTTTGTTTTAGCAAGTCACATTAAATAAATAAAGTCTGTAGATCAGCGCTTTTCGTAAGCCTTAACACGCTTGTGCCGTTGGAAAAGCTCAGCCGCTTCGCACGCCCAACACTTGGCCATAGATAATGGCTAGGCGCGCACTTCAACTGATAAAAAATGTGTTTTTTTTTGCAGCTGCGCTGTCAACGCAGACGTAGAAGTCGCTGCTGCTGCCGGCGCAGGCGGTTGACGTCGCTGCCACTTGAACAAAACAGCGTCGCGGCGCTTCGAGCAAATTGCCAATTTAAATTGGCCGCGTTAAATTAGTCGAGTTATCAGCTTCCACGGCGGCAGGTGTACGGCTAGTGTTGAGGCTCGGGCGTTGCGTTGCCAACAACAACAACCACAGTAAAAGCAAACAAAACAGCAACAACAACAACGTAAGCAGCAGCAACTAACAAAAGTTCATGCAATTTGTTTAAATGGTTGTATGTGTGTTTTTTTGTTGAACGAACGAAGTGAAATGAAATGAAACGGAAATTGTAACGTGCCCGAATTACTGGACGGAAACATTTCCGCTTCACACCTTGGCCGTCGCAGAAATGTCACGACATTTTGTTTGCATAATTGTGTGATTAAATGGCCTGCCTGATTGCCTTGCGGCTCTGCTTTCAGTTGACGGCTGTCGAGTGTTTCACTTTATTTGCTTTTCGATATTAAATGATTAAGTGTAAATGCATTCCCGTCAGTACGTGACTATTTATGCCATTCAAAGAAACATAAAATATAAAAATAAGTTCGAAATAAAAGGAAAAGAAATCAAATGAAGTGAATAATCCGAATAGATTTCGAAAAGAGGCACAAACCTTAACTGGTCAGTCAAAATTTTAGGCATTTATCGGCAATTACAATTATACTACTACCATTTGTATATTAAACAAAACAATTAATAAATCAAATGATGTGAATAATAAGAATTCATACAATAAAGAGAAACAATTAAGAAGAACGAAAAATGTTCAAAATTGAACAAACAAAAAGCTTGCTAAATATTAAATGCAAAATAATATATAACAATTTATTCAAAACTAATTATACGTAGGGTCAAAAAGAAACAATAAAAACAACAACAATAAAAGGAAAATAAACAAGTAATGGAAATATTTCAATCTACCATTCAGAGTAATGAGAAATAATATGTGGAGTTGAATTAATACTTAAATATATTCTTTAATGAATATCAATTAAAGATATTGTACAACAAAAGCAATGAAATGCCAATAATGAACAAAGATGAATGAAAAAACAATACAAATATTAAAATGAATATTAATTGCCAATTAATTGTTAGTAATTAATTTCAAAAAATAGGAGTATTATAATAACATGAATAAAGAAAAGAAATATAAATATTAATCATGTAACAATTAAATGATATCAATAAATAAACAATAATAATCACTAAAGTTTCATTACCTAATGAATACAATTTTTAGAAAATAAAAAATATTTAATGAGTATTATTAATAAAGTAATACCCAATAATTATTAATAAATAGCTGATTTCACCGGATTTATAGAGGAATTGCCGTCTTCAAATATCTTTCCACTTCGACTTGACAAATTATATAGCTGGGAAATCAATCACTTGGTGCTGATATTATATCTAATCACAAGACATTGACACAAAATATGACACAATTCCAAGAACTAGTTAACTAAAGAGCTAAATAGATTTGCTTTTTCTAATCGAATTACGTCAAAGCTGACTAGGGTTAATAACTCTAATGTCTGTTAACAATACACGCCAACAGCAGTGAAGAAATGCTAGATCATCAGCTGTGGTTTTAAGTGGAGTAAAAAATACTAAAATCCACACAATTGACAATATGATGATTCCGAAAAGTAATTATCATATTACTTTGTTACTAAACATTAATCTGATAACATAAACGGGCGACGTTTTTTATTAAATACTCATCTGCTGATAATGTTGCTATCTAATGAACTCACAAAAATTTCATTTTAATGTTATTGCCTCAATCTAGTGTAGATAGACATTTGTAATTTCGATCGCGTTCAATCAATCTTTCATTTATGATTAATAACATATTTCATTTTTAGACTTGGGTAAGACTTTGGCATTAAAACTAACAGAAAATTTTGGTAAAATAAACATAAAATCGTAAGAACTAAACAAATAACAGATAATATACACAAAGAACCCGAAAGAACACTATTAACGCAACAATTGTTAGTAAGTAAACAATATAGCAGCAACATTACAATATTCAACACTAAAGACCTACAAATAATTAAGAAGTAACTACAAAATAAATAAAAAGCGAAAAACATATGTTAATAATCATTTCGGCCATCTGAAAAATTATTATTAAATTCAAATAAATAAACAAGACATTGCAAAGAACTCTTTAAATAATAAAATAAATATTACACAAAAATGAAATTGACTGAAAAATGAGTAAAAATTAATAATAAATAATATAAAGAATCTGGCATTTGAAATTACATTAACTGGGCAATTAAAATTGTAAACATTTGCCAACAATTGCAATTATTTCATCGTTTTGCGCTTCTCAGTTAGAAAGTATAGTTATTACAACAACTACGCGATCAATTTATATAGTTTACGACTCAATCTCTCTATTAACTAGTTCCAACAAAATGTAAGTGTTTATAGTCACTAAAATGCCGCCCTCTTCAGAGAATTTAAAATATGATACGTTAAGCCCACAACATTTTTCATACTATCTCTAAGCCGCACAATTGCCATAAATTAATAACTAAGAATGCCAGCCAATAACAGGATTATATAACGGCCCTAAATCATGTGTAAGAAAATTATGCAAAACGCTTTTCAAAATGCAATATAAAGTTGTGAAATGGAAGACGTCGGGCGACAAACAGAATTGTGGAAAAATTAACAAAAACAAGAAAAAGAGTGCACGCTGATAACTGCAAACGGAATGTCAATAAATTAATATAAATGAGTGACTCGTGACTGCTGGGTGTCTTCGACATCAAGAACGAAAAAAATAACAAAAACAAAAACAACAACAACAACAGAAACAAGTAACAAGAAAAGTGAAACGGAAAACAGCGAAATGAGCAGAATGAGAGTAATGTGCGGAATGAGAGAAAAGCAATTTAGTCGATTTGCAAAATACAATTGTTGTGTTCTTTTGTTCATATCTAGATACCGTGTAAGGAAATGTGTAACGTAATCAAAACATTTTGAAACGATCAAAGAAATGCACACCAATACCATAAATTCTTCCTTTCTGCGTTTCCAAATATACATATATAATAGATGAGTGTGTGTGTGTGCTGAAAGTAAATTTGTATTTGTTGTGAAATGTAAGTGCAGCAGAAAATTGGCTCATGCGCTACCACTACGCTTAAAAGCCTTGGCAAGCTGCCGCCGATTTAGCCAAATGCCAACCCAAAGCCGATAAGCCGAATACATAATAAGAAAATGTTGGTCCGCTTCAGCGTTTTAGCCATTTCTGCTGCTGCTTCTGCTGCTGCTGCTGCTGTTGCTGTTGCTGGCCTGCCTTTTCTTTTTGGCGGCCATTCAAAGCATTTGCTGTAAAGCTGTTCTCTAAACAATGAAAATACCCCGCATAAATAGAAAACAATTAAGCATTTGCCAGCGATAAGAGATAAACGATAAAAAGCGGCAAGCATTGTGACTCATCGCAATTTAGGCCAATCAGAAGGAGAAACCGAAAGAGTTATAGGGAGAGAGTGAGAGGACAGAGTTGGAACTGAAACTGGCTAATTAACAGAACGCGATTTGGCAGTGCGTAAAATTCTCGAACTTTAAAACTTTTGCAATATCAGATGCAAAGGAAATGTTGGTTTTTGTTTTTCTGTTTGTTGGTTTGTTTGTTTAGTTAGAATGAATGGCAAGTGTTGATAAGCGCGTGTGGCCAACAGAGTTGCATAAACTTTTAACCCATTACGGCAGTGGGAGAGTTATGTTCGGTACAATACTGTCATGAAGAGGGATGTCTAGGAGTCTTATTTTAAAACCAGCTGAGGAGCTTTCTCTTCGAAATTACAAAAAAAAAAGATTTTACAAATTTGTAGTACAAAATTTCTATTTACAAAGTTCATAGACAATATTAAAAAATATTAAATTAATACATAGAAGAGTTAAACTAACTATTCGGAATTAAAAACCAATTTTAAAAAGACTCTTCATAAATTAATATATGACCGAAATTTAACTATGAATCCCACCGTGCGCTTAAAATGTCTGATTGTAAATCAAATATTTTGCATTGCACACTTCCCATTTACCTAAATCGTTAAGCCCTAGGCAGTTGACTGTCAGTGAAACTTAAAGTACTTTTAAGTGCAAATTTCCCGTTTATCTATACTATTGAGTAAGCCCTAGGAGGTAGGCTGTCAGTGACTTGTCAAATCGCAAGCTCCAAAAAACATATAGCTGTCCATACATTTTTAGAACAAACCAAAATAACCGTAAATCCTTGCCAAGTGTTAGAAAACAAAAAACCGGACAGCTGATTGTTGGCGTCCGAATGGACATTGATTGACATTGAACATTTTTGTGGGTTTTTTGAAAGTGTGATCTAATTTGGGTATTCCTTGTGCGTATTCCAGCATAGATTAATGTATCCAAAGAAAATAATTTATGTGATTAATCCTTGGCAGTCAGCTCCTAATCACGACATTATCTAAAATGTCGAGCACTTTTGGTTTGCATCGCTCGTTTTTCATTAATTTAATGTATTTTATTAAAAACTTTATATACCATCTCTAAAAAATGGGAATGAAAATTAATAAAAATGTAAATTTTTGTGCTTAAATCTTATCTTTTTGCGAGCACACAAACAAATTGAAATAGAAAATAATCGATCAATTTTACTCGAACATTAAATGTTGTGTTTCGGTATTATTATTTATAGCTTGATAATATAAAATAAAATAAAAACTTATTATATATACTACGTTTAATGGTTCGAAATCGGAGAGCTTTGGAGATCCTAGTGTGCAGACATGCAAACGCATGAACAGACTGAAGCCTAACCTAAGCAGACATATAATTTGTACATTATTATTAATTTTTAATAATGTATAATGTAAGTATTGATGGCTTTTTCTTTAAAGCATAAAAATCCCGTCCAACCAATGAGTTTCATAATCAAAAACCACAACATGACCGTAAATCTAATCAATTGAAAGCGAAGTATAAAAGTAGATAAGAAGTCAAGGCAACAGCAGTTCGATAGATAAGGGGGAAAAAATGAAAACAATACTGCAAAGCCGAACAACCTTCATAATTTCGAATATGCAAATTAGTGGGCAGACCGCTTAATAGCACTCGTTTGTGGCAACAAGTTTACAATGCCAATCTAAGCCAACGCTCATAAATCACAGCAATGTCGACAGAAATCACCCACGAACACAACAACCCACCGCCCACTCGCTACTGGATGTCGTGTGCTTTTTATTTACAGGTCGCGCCCAGCAGTTGCTGAAAATGTGTGATAAAAATGCTAAATTAGTTGACAACTAAATAAAGTAATAACAGTAATAGCAACAGCAGCAAAACAACAACAAGTGAAACGAAGCGAAATAAAAACGTGTGAGCTACCACGCAACCCCGCAGCACAAACATGGCCTGTTTTCCACGCCTCTTCCAACCCCGGAGCAAAAATAAATTCACGCCAGCCGAAGATGTAAATACGGACACGATACTGAACTCACAAGATAGTCCCGTGGTGAGTTTTGTAGCACGCCCGATAAGGCGGCACTGATAAGTCGATTAAGTGTTTAATTAAGTTAATCAGCGGGTGCAGCAGCAACTGTCGTAAATAATGTATAACTAGCTAACTAAACACGATACCACAACAACAACAACAGTAACAATAACAAACAGAACGGGCTAAAAACGTGTAGCATTTTACACGTCGGTCTTATCATTCCTGCCTGCCTATGACGCTCGCATTTTCGAAGTGCTTATCGCAAAAGCAGCTCACAAAACACACTTAAAAAAAAAGAGCCAAAAAAAAAGAATTGTTAATAAAAAATTCTGTGTAAATAAATGAATGCGCAATGCGCTTATATATAGTATATAGGACTATATTGAATTTCTTGTATATCGAACATTGCTTATTTACTGCAAATTTAATCAATTTTTCAATTAATATTTCAAATGCAGAATATTTTCATGCACGAGAACGACAACGACGACGACTTATCGCAATTGTTTTTGCTGGCGCTTAACGCAAATCTATATTATTGACAGCTTAGTTACGTATTTGATTTCAAAGTCGAGTGCCAGCAATGCAACAGATAGGGTCCAAAATGTATTTATCAAATAAATGCTATTGGTGCTGAAGCAGCCCTATTCTATTTTCCCATTAATTCCCGTAAACTGAACGGCAGACGTTGGGTTGGTATGGAAATATATCAATTTTAAATGAAATTGATTTGCAAAAGATTACAACTCATAATTTAATAAGTTGGCATTCTCCTTCTTTTTTCAGATTTTATTAAGCTTATTATACTTTTCGATATTGTTGAAATAACTCACAGCTTTCTTTTATATTCACTTCCAGTTATAAGTACTTTATAATTGTAATTTCTGTGCAATATGTCTAAGAATATCTGAGGCCACTAAGGTACACAAGACAATCCTAAGAAAACATCCGCTATGACAAATACTGGATAACAGGACAGCCTGGTATGCATGTCCTCCACAGGTTCTTTTGACCTAGTTGTGGAAATAAAAAAGAAGTAGAAAGCATCTAACACCAAACAAACCAATTCCTTTTTTTAATAAAATCGTATAAATTAAGCGGCAATGGCAAGGGCACACTACTGGAATCTTAGCCAGAAAATACATCAAATTTTTTTGATAAAAGTTAAGCAGGAATATTCATTTCATTTTACTGTTTTCGCTTTTGTTGATGAAAAGCTTCAGTTTCATAAATAAATCCTTTCTACCAGAACTAGGAAAAAAATAAATGTATATTGTTACGCAATCGTGCCATGTTCATTGAGGATGCTTAAAAAAATTGTAGGTAGTTTCTAAAAAAAAAAAAGATAATTTCAGAATACATATTTTAATGAAAAGTCGGAAAGTCGAAAAAGCGGCGCATTAGGAGTCTTGGAAAGCGTATCAACGCCTTGGCAAATGGTAAAATAATAATAATATTTTATTAAATTAAACTACAGCGCAGCACTTAAGCGACTGTGCATCCTTTATCTCGAATAGAAGAAAGCCAACTTATGTTAATTATGCAGATAAATGTGGGAGAGAACTGTTATGCTTCTTAAGAAAGGTAGAGCTACTCGTATCCTACTAGGAGTAGTGGAATATTGTTTTTTAAAGCTTTGCAATGCATATTTATGCAGTTTACTGATTTCTACAGAAATCTATAATTTATTTATATAGTCAACTCGGAACACTTGTCTATAATTATGGCATAATTTTCTTATTAACATTTTAAATCTTAAATATGAAACAGCAACATTAGAAATCTTGATTCAAATTCATTTAATTTTGTGTTGATTTCCGTTTCACATTATTGTAAGAAAATGTACATTTTTGATTAAAGCGTACACATACTACTCTTACATTTATTGATGCTTTATGAGTTTTCAATCTATATTCTCTATCCTTGGCATTGCGACAGAAAAGTGCGGCAACCCTTGGGATCAATCATAAAAAGTTATCGGCAATAAATAATAATGGCATTTCTCTGAGGATGCTAACAAGCTTAAAGCAATTGGCAGGCACGACACTTTCTGCCTTATGCCGACCCAACAATCTCCACTAGCGAGGACTAAATATGTAAAAATATGTTAAGCATATGGGTACGTGAGTTCCGTTTCGAGCTCCCCCAAAATAGACTTGTCAATAAATCCCGAAAACAAACTGTCGGCATTCCCCAAAACGAAACAGTCAGTTCAGCACTTGTTTCATCAAACGACACATAAATATTCTCAATTCGTAGACTGCACAGCTATCTATCGAAATATCAACATGGATGCCGGCGAATGTTGTCATATTTTCCCTTCTTTTTTTTGGCACGACTTAGACGTGATTGCACGCCTTTAACTGCATGGGCGGGTGGGTTGTTCTTGTAGCCAGCCACCTCCTTCAGACAAACAGTCCCCCAGGGAGAAATACTTATAACCGAGCATTCGCATTCGCATTCCTAACACACAACATTTGACATTTGACAGCACGCTGTGCTTTGATGAAAAAATTGTACACATGTTCGAGTCTGTAGGTGCGTTTATTTTTGGCAAATGTTCTCGGCGACAATCTCTTTAGAGATTAAATCATTTAATTTCAAAGGGCACAAGATATATTGAAACGTCGATAATCGTCACATTAGCAGACACAACTGCGTGCCACAAGTGATGCGATGTGATGTGAAAACTGAGATGCGCATTAGCGATAGGTTTGCATCGAATGGAAACATTTATTCTAGATCTATGCTTCTATTGCTTCGCAATTTATGTTAAAATAGGTTGATAAATATTTCGGTAATTTGAATGGGTCCTTACAAACGTATATATATACATTCCAGAAACAATACCATATTATACACCTAATTCTGTTTAAACATTGGTTCCAGAAAAAGTCTTGTACAAAAAATTCGTGTAAAAAGACATTGACCAGATGTTATTTTGAATCCAGCTAAATGGAATAAAGTCGTGCAACCATATATAAAATTTTACATTTTCAAATCATGTTAAATCAAAAGCGTGTAATAAAACAGAATTAGGTGTATATACTTGTATATTAGACTTAAGTGTATTTTTTGTCGCTTTTTTGTGGCTCCGAATATTTTCCTCAAATAATTTTTTTTAGGACATTTTTAGAAAAATGTAAACGCCATTCTTACGTGTTGAGTTATCATTTGCTAATAAGCTTTCTTTGCAAATCATTTATTGACCATCTAAATATATTTTTTGAAAAGCAAATCAAACACCGTAAGTAGTTTTGTTTGAATCATCAATTAACCACCAATTTATGGTAGTCAGATACTTATGCAATATGAAAAGTATATATATTTGACTTGAGGATATTTTTTGTCGCTTTTTAATAGTTCTAACATAATTTTTTTTAGCACATTCTTACACAAATTTAAACGCCTTTCTTACGTGTTGAGCTACCATTTGATAAAAAGCTTTATTTACAAAATATTCAATGAAATTTCTTTCACGTCATGGTAGTATACTTGTATATGAATCTAAATATTTTTTTTTGGAAAAGCAAAGCAAACATCAATGCATCGTCAACAAAAATTCGATGTTTTGCGATACCTAGAAGTTCATTTGCATCGCTATTTGGTATCAGAAACGGCTTTGGATTTATCAACCTCATCAGACCTGCACGCAACGTTTGGCGGTTGTGGCTTAGGCTTTGGTTTTGGTTTTGGGTTCGGCTTCCATGGGAAAACGGAAAACCTGTCAAAATGACGTCGTTTAAGGCTGATTAGCATATCAAAGCAAGCCAAACACACACACACACAGATACACACGTGCGTCCTGCACATTGACACATGTTTATTTAAGCGGCTTGTGTGGCTGTCGCTGTGGCTGTGGCTGCGGCTGTGACTGTGGCTCTGACTGTGGTTGCTAACAACTTCTAGGGAGATGTCAAATGTCGGCCCAAAGGAAGAAAAAAGTTTTAAATTTTTTATTTGCTGGCGTGTCTCTGTCTGTTTACCAATTGAACGATAAGCTTTGTGACAGCCTCCTTGTCGGTGGCTGTCGGCTGTGTTGGCTAAAGAGTTTCGCATTTGAAAGACTTTCGCAAATTGTAACCAACAATCGCCTAATTATGTTGGTTTTATGTTATAATAAGCACACCTCAAAGTTGCGAAGCATAACTTTTCGACAGACGATACATGTGAGGTGGGAAAGGAATAGTTAAAAGTTTTTGAGTATGTCTGAGTCGGTCTCAAGTAACTTTTTGACAAACTTGAACTATGAATTTTGTGCGTAGCTGAAGTGTTGTTGCCTCACATCCGAGCTGCCAGCAATTGTGGCAGCTCTGACAAGTAATTTTCTCACTCAGACTCACCTCTCATTTCGCACCGCTGCACTTTTCACATGCTCATACATATAAGTCCGTACCTGTCTGTTGAAATTGTTTTTCTATTTACACAATCTATTCATACATGGCCGCATAAAAGTAAACTTAAATAGCACGTACATTTGTGCCATGTGTACCACCACATCCTTTTGTTTGTGTTTAGTAATATTTGCGTGAATAAAAGTAAACAACAATTGCATAAAAGTTGTGCCATGAGCAACAACACTGATGTCAATATAAATATGAGCAGATAAAAATATCTCGATGACTAACTGCTACCTGCTTCCAACTTGTAGAAACCCATTTTTACTATCTTGCTGACAATATTAATTAAAAAACATGCATAAGTAAAATAAATAAACGAAAATAGACTTTACATGATTTTCAAGTATTTGAATCACATTTTTCGAAGCACTCAGGCAAATGGGAAAATGCCTTTCTACTGCTTCTTTATTAAGTTAGCTTTGAATTTGAAACACATCTTAAATGGATGGAGAAGTGCCTGATCACACATTCTAGTAATGCTTTAGATGGAACAGAAATACCGTGAATATAAAAACAGATCAAGTTGTGCTTATAAGAAATGAACACACACTAATGGCCAATAGGATGAATGGAGGAAACCCGTTCAGGAAATGATGGAAAAGTAAGGGTAGTCCCTAGAAAAACTCACAACGGAGAAAATACCAGTACAAAAGATCTGCCCACTCGAGACAAAAACAGACCAGAACAATTATATTAATTTGTATAATATGTGTTTATCTTGTACTTATAGTAATTGTTATGTTTTCATTAAAATCTATAAAGAAATAGGTTCCTTAGGTAAACACAGGAAGAGCAGCTCTATATAAAGGACTCGTATTAAAACTCTAATCGTTTTAAGACCTTAACTTGTCAACAGTTTTTGCATTTCTGACAGTTCTTTCTATCTTTTCCTTATCAGTTTTTTTTTTTTGTTCAAATCTGCCCCCACCTTAAACCTATTTTTTATATAAAACAGTCGAAAAACCCCAAACAATCTTCCAGCGCAGAAGCAAAAAGAGGAAGTACAGAATAGGTGTTTGAACAGTTTATGCAGTTTATTTGTTTCAAACTTTTCTTAGAATTGATCGCTTGGGATGAAATTTGAAACAAATTAAATAAATTGTACATTAATTACGTGGCCAAATTATGGTTTATGTAGCTTTGGAAATGTGGGCGATTTTAATGAAATTCAAAGGTTGTGGGAGGAAGGGTGGTAGGAAAATCAAACAAAGAAAATGAAGTCGCGTTGTCTCGGATACCAAGTTCATCTGTTTCCCAAATTTCTGATTTCTGATTAATAAAATATATACTTTACGATGCTTCCTTCTGCCTATTACATACTTTGCTCAAACCTTATATATTGTACATACACTTTTTACCATTCGACTACAGGGTATAAGAAAGCTTACAAATGTCTTGGTTGACCGCCGATTTCATTTAAGTATACCAATAAAAAGTATATTTAGGTGCCTTCTCCAACTCCCTGCTCGGGCATATCACACAAAAGTAAGAGAAGCAAATAAAACCAAATCGAAATCAAATCCTTAGCTGTCAAAGAATTGAATGCAAATCAAAAGTTGAACGAAAGCTCAGTGGAAAATCAACAAATGCCAGTTGCTGGTGCAAGCCAAGCAGCAGGATTTAAATTCAGGCCGCAACTTAAAGCCGCATGCAAAGCGGCTATATACTCTTAGCATATTTATAAGATACAACTGAAGGAAGGGATGAAGTGCTAATCGTAAAAGGCAACATTAAGCCGCCTGTTTGGCATTTATCGACAGTGTCAGCCAGACGATTGATTTCAATACCAAACCAGAGCAGAGAGGCGGACTTTCAGGCAGTCAGGCAGACAGACAGACAGACAGACAGACAGCCAAGGCAGTCAAGGTAACAGGCGTATTATTTGCCCGTTTTCCTCAGATTGTTTGTGTGATACGTTTTTTAGTGGGTTTTTTGTGCCGCCTTGAGTGCTACCGGTTGTTATTGTATATTGCTTAATATTTAATATGATTCGTGTTATCTGACACCTGTTGACAAATTTCGTTTATGCAAGAATGCTCAGCAGTTGGGGCTCTTAAAGCGATGCCATTTGTGTGGAATACAAAAAGGAATATTAAATACTGTGATTGAAGGCTTACCATTTAAAATTAACTACTATAGCGAGAAACTTCTTAATGAATTCAATTCCGCCCGTGTTGTTGAAATAGCGCACGAATAGAAATCAACTAGAAAGTAAGAGACTGATCTTTTTTTTTAAAGCAAAGCAAGAATCCAGACCTCCAGTTGTTCTGATTAACATTTTGAAGTATTTTATATACTGCTAGTCAATAATTGTATTGCCATGAACATAAAATGAGCAATTGAGCATATTCCTGATATTTTAATTTCGTTCTTTCACATCCTTTTAAATGTTCTTCTTTGACCAATTCTATAGTTATAAACTAGTAAATCGTTAAACATTGCAGCAAAAAAGTTATTGGTTTGCATAAAAAACAAAACCAGCACTTCATTTATCATTTTAAAAAGCAATTCAAAGCAATTTTTGTTTTTGAATTTATTGAATTGAATTTATTTAAATGAAAAATACAGCTGTTTAAAAATAGAAAGTGTTCTTCAAGCAAACCTCTTTAGAATTCCAATTTTTCAGCTGTTTACACTTTAGCTTATGTTAGCAAATTTAAAATTTATAAATTGTTGACAACTATTTTGAATTTCTAAACACGCCCCTTGAAAAGAAAACGGTACTATAACGAACATACTCGTTTAATATCAATATATATAGATTTTAATGAAGAGTAGAAATGATAGTGGAATCTCTAACCCACTCTAGTTCGATTTATTAGCTTTAACTTTCTTTACCATTAAGTTGAATTTTCTCTTTGAACAGAACTCTTTAAGCAATTCAAGCATTAAGCCACTTTTTACCTTTATTTACAGCAAATTGGACTCTACATACGCCGTGAGGAGAAACCGCTCTACACACCGCTCCCAACGCCCAGTGCCAGTGAGGTGAGTTCATTTAACTGCCATACCGTATTCTGTATATACTTAGTGTAGAACATTTGTGGATGTTTACCGAACTAAACATCAAGTGTTGCGAGTTCTAGTTTCCTCGGCCTTTCTATATCTCTCTCTCTCTCTCTCTCTCTCTTTCTCTCTCTCTCTCTCTCTCTCTCTCTCTCTCTCTCTCTGAAAATCTATCTGACTGCCTGTCTATTTGTTTGTTTGTTTGTCTTTGTCAAACTCAATTAATATTTGCACATGTGTTTCTTATACTTTCAAACGAAATGGCAACAACAACAACATGGCACAACACTTGTAAATATGTGCACAACTACACCTCCAACACGCACACACACACACACACACACACACTTACCAATATACCCGCACTATGTTTGTCTTGCTAAACGTGTTTTGTGGGTGGAGCGGCCATTAGGCCCAACTACAACGCCCAAGGCAACAACAGCCCACGAGTCCCACACCCTCGCAACAACAGCAACAGCAACAACAACAACAACCACCATGGCAATGGCATCAGCCGCTAGAGTCCGAACTTCAAAATTTGGCCGAAAATGTGGCAGTTAGTGACAGCACCAGGCAGATAAAGAAGTTCCGCTCAAACAAGGATAAACTGCAGCACCAGCTGTCCATTGCTAGCAGGGATAAGGACAACAATGGACGCCTATCGGCTGTTAACAGCGCTGCCGGCGACCTCAATGGCAATGCAATTAATGTCATGCGCTCCAATTCAAAATTAAAACCAGTCAAAGAGCGACGTCCCACAGCACTGCCCACAGAGGCGCCCAGTGTGGCAGCCGACGATTCGGATGGGGAGAAGGCGGAAGCGGCAAGCAGTGCCTGTTGCTCTGATGTTGTTGACGTTGGTGGCAAGTCAAGGCTCAAAGTGAATGTGCTTCTGAATGGCATAATTGATGGCGATGACGACGGCACCTTTATTACGACTCCTACTAGTCCTGAGACACCGACAAATGTAAAATTTTTCATTGGTCATACGCAGGAACTAAGTACGGACCAGACTGATGATGCTTTGTCCTGGCAGGACAGGAGCAACGATGCCAACAACAACAACACCACCGCCACCACCAGCAGCAGCAGCAGTAAGCTGACAAATGGCACATTACCGCAAGCCCATGGCCATCAGACTCTGAAGCCAACATCGAAAAACTCCAGCAATGTGTCACTCAATTATCTGACAAAGTGTAAGCGCTCGGACGCCAAAGTGGACGTCGATGCCGGCACACCCGATATTTACATACCGGCACCACCGCCCATGCCCACCGAACCCCTCATGCCCGGCACGCCACTGCATCTGCGCAAGAAGAAGCGCAGCGCCCGAACATCAGTGACAGCGAATGCGGTGCCGCCACAAACACTGAATGCTTCGAATAGCCAGGTAAGTAGGAGTCTTCATCTTTATCCTTAAGTGGTGGCATTTCAACTGATTGGTGGGTTAGAAGGAGTTGCATCCAATCCATTTACTTATCTGCGCGCAAATTGCTGCGGGCTTTTGAAGCATATACTTCTACAAGTAGTACACCACAAAGCAATGTGGCTGCTTATTGCTCGGCAACCACTGAGGGTCATAAAGCTTTGTATGTTTGTTAAGGCTTTCCACTATTTTGCAAACACCTTGAAAAACAAACACAAAGAAAAATATCTATATTGCAACCAAAATATTGTAGAGTAACTTTCTGTAGAGTAGCTTTCTAACCAACTTCAATACAATGTTTCAAATGGTATTAATTTTCTGTGTGCATGACCTACCCATATGTTTTTACCTTATTACCAGTAGGAAGGCATTTCAATTGAATCAAATTAACATTTTCTGTTCTTGATCAAAAAAAAAATGTTCAGTAGTCCGTTACATTTTTGTTCTTTCCAAAATATTTTGTTACGCGTATACACTTATGAACACTATAACTATTATTTTTTTAAGTTTCCCCCCCTTTGAAGCTCGAATTTTTCAAAAGCCTTTCTTAGTGCGCACCTACACTATGATGAGATACTTGAGCTCAAATTTCAGCTTCCTAGCTCTTACCGTTTGGGCTGTGGAGTGTTGATTGTGTTTCAATTTTTCCACGGGAAAACCCCCCTTTATCATGTCCCAGTATACAGTTTTTCTTGTATTTTTTATGAGAGTATACTAAGTTTGAAGTTAATCGGATGAAAATGGTAGATTTTTCATACAAAGGTTGGAGCCTGTTTTCCCCCACTTGGAGCTCGAATTTTCAAAAATCCTTTTACCGTTTGGGCTGTGCGTTGATTGCCAATCAGTCAGCCAGTCAATACAAACTGTTTTATATATATAGAGACAAGCGGTAAATGGACCAAAAGTTTGCTTTTACATGGTGGTAGCCACACAGTAAGGTATTGCCAAGATCTGAAGAGAAAACGTAGCTCTTAGTCGTCCAGCTTTCCACATTTTCATCAGAAAGGCAAGTAACAGAGTAAGGTGGTTTGGAAACTATGTCTCAGCAATCTAATCTAATATTCGTTTATATAAGGCGAATTCAAACACCTTTGGCTGTCTTCTTCTTCTCCAACTTTTATTTACTTTCCATACCTAAAAGTTCACTGACCAGGGCTCGCATAATGATATCCTTTCATTTGCCAACTCTCTCAGCTTATTCGTTCATTGGTGCATTAAAAAGTTTTAACTACGCGTACTGTTGCTTTGCAGCGCTCTTAAAACTATGCAGATAGAACAATTTAGTTACAGAACTTCCAACTTGGCTAACATTTCCATTTGGCACGGCATTAATTAAGCCCTCCCTGCTAATTACACAATACTCGCTATTATGGAACGTGTACCCACTGACCAAAACAGCTCTAAACTTCTCTGAGCATGTTTCTAATTACGATGCGAAAATGTTTATTGTTTGGCTACTAACATGAACTCCAACTAGCTGGCCAACAAGTTCATGGCTAAGCACAATCGAATCCACTTAGCCTGTGGCGCACTTTTTACGAGTCCCAGTCCTCCCGTGCCCCAACCTGCCCCTCCAATTGACCGAAAGGCACCTGTACGGATTGGAACTGTTGCTGCTAATGCTGAGGCAACGAGTTTTCCAACGGCAATAACATTTTGGCTGATGTAGCGTCTTGTGATAGTTTGCCTCGCTGACAGGAAATGCTTATAATGGCTGCGATTCCGGTGTGCAAATGGAGGTAAATATTTAATAATGCCGCTGGCGGGCCAACCCCGAAGTCTCTTGGCCTCTTGGGCTCCCACTGTGCACACTGCTCGTAAAATCTTTAATTCGCAAAAATGCTGAATAATGCCGACCAATTCCCATTGGTGGTAGCTGCTGAGCCAGCCTTAAATACTCATAATTCTGTGTGCGACGAAAGCTGATATTTTCGAAAGCAAATACTTATCAAAGGGTCAAGTGGCTTTTAAATTTAAATATCTCTTGAAAATTCATTTACAAATAATTTCACCTCTTCCTTGCTAACATTTGATGTGTAAGCAGACAGCAGCCATGAAATTATATTTAGAATAAATGGAATTTCCCACGCAGTGCAACAACTTTGTCGTCAATTCTGCAACTCCATTAACAGCCACTAATTATTATTACAATTTTGTAATTGGCAATACAATGGATGAAGTATGAAAGGAATCGCCATGACAATGAGTTATTTTTGTAACAATAAGATGCTGTCCTTAAATTGAATAAACTGCATTGATCCGAAGCGCCGCCATGCGAAGAATTGTGAAGTCAGGCATCGGCAATAGTTAGTTGAATAAATTCCTTTCTTACGCACTCAAGTGAACTTTCTCAGAAAGATTTGTCGGCAAACATATATAGCTTGAAACCCTCTTTCCACCCACCACCCATAACCCATGGTTCCGTTTAACTTGCGAGTTATCTGCCTTACAATTAAATATGTAGCAGCTTACATATTGTATATTTGTTTAACATCGCATCTTCCAAGTCAAAGAAGATGAACATTATTACCTGCTGCACAAAGCAAACAACAAACGAAAGTAAAAACAAATAACTACATAATTTGCTATTCGCATCAATTAGGATCAAATAGCCTTGCCCAAGGACAGCGATAAGAGCTCGCCGAAGGCACATCGCGTTGAAGGTGGCCTCATATTCACGCGACCGAATTTTCCGGTGCAAAAGGACATTGAAATCGAATTTATCGCCAAGGATGAAGCGTAAGTAGAAAAAGAAAACCAAGCAAACAGCAACTCTAGCTGATTACTTACCACCCAACAATTGTGTCGCCCAAAACAATTCTCAATACCATCCAACACAGCACACGCAATCTCATACACAATGCCATCGAACGTAATGATTTCCTCAATAATCTAATGGACAAAGAGCGCCAGGAAATGGTTATCAATGCAATGGCGCCGGCAAACTATGACAAGGACAGCTTCATAATACACGAGCACGAGGAGGGCTCCGAAATCTATGTCTCTGCCGAGGGCTACTACGATGTGATCAAGGGGGGCCAGCATGTTGGAAACTTTGGACCGGGCACAGTGTTCGGCGAACTGGCCATACTCTACAATGCCCCCAGGCAGGCAACCATCAAGGGTGAGTGTTGGAACGATTCCTTAAACGAAAGATTAACTAGTTTTCTAAATCTTTTCTGGAAATATTTATTTATTTACTTTGTTTTTATTTATATTATTTCAGCGGCTACGGATGCACGGGTGTGGAAGATAGCACGCGAGACCTTTCGGGCCATTATGCAAATATCAGGTTCCCGTGAGCGTGAGGAGAACTTGCAGTTTCTGCGCTCTGCGCCATTTCTGGAAGAGCTCGAAGAAAGTTTGCTTAGCAAAGTGGCTGATCTGTTGCAGCGTGTAGGTCCCAAGAATTAGCTTCGTGCTCTCCTCAAACTTAAAAGGCATTTCTTTTAGAAATTCTACGATGGCGGCAGCTGCATTGTGCGCGAAGGTGAGTTGGGCAATGAATTTTTCATCATACGCGGCGGCACAGTGACCATCAAGAAGAAGGATGAGGCCGGGGAGGAGCAGGTGGTGGCCAAGCGCAAACGCGGTGACTTCTTTGGGGAGAAGGCGCTTATGAATGCGGATCGGCGACAGGCGAGCGTATACGCAGATCCACCCGGCACGGAGATCCTTCAGCTGGAGAGAGAGTGAGTGGACCAAGGACACTAGGGCTTCATTATTTTATAAATATTCCTCCCCTTAGAGCATTCAATAGCTATCTGGGCACCATAAAGCAACTGCAGGAGCAACCAGAAGAGGACGATGGCACGTCCGGTCGCTCCAGCAATAAAAGTGCCGAGTTCGACAATGAGTTTGCGCAAATACCCATCTCAGAGCTCAAAAAGATAGCAACACTGGGCTCGGGGGCATTCGGACGCGTCGATTTGGTCACGCATGGCAATCAGGTGTTCGCCTTGAAGATTATCAAGAAGATCGATGTGGTCAAGCAGGATCAAATAGAGCATGTGTACAATGAGAAGAACGTGATGATTCAGTGCCGTAATTCGCCATTTATAGCGCAGTAAGTTGAAAGATAGTCAGAAATGCAAAGAATTTGCACAAATTAAAGCACATTTTATCTGGATACCCAAAATTAAAAAGCTACCGGCAGACTTATTTCCCAACCCTCGACCAATCCACTTATATTTGTTGTCTACCTAAAGACAACTATAAAATACTTGTAAAGTTCCTTAAAGAATCAAATATAATTCATAAATTATAGGTCTATTACAATTACACAGTATCTTCATTAATGCATCAATTAACTTTTGTATACAGAACTAATTTATTTTAACAAGTTTTAAGTTATAGCTTTCTATACTTTCAATTACCCTTAAGCTGTATATAAATAAATAAATGTAAATAATATTATCAACTCTTTCAGGCTCTATCGCACCTATCGTAATGAAAAGTATGTGTACTTTTTGATGGAGGCGTGCATGGGTGGCGATGTTTGGACAGTGATGTATAAGCGTCAGTATTTCGATGAAAAGACTGCCAAGTTCATAGCCGGTTGTGTTGTGGAGGCCTTCCATTATCTGCACTCTCATAGCATTATCTACAGGGACTTGAAACCGGAGAACCTTATGCTGACCACAGACGGCTACTGCAAGCTGGTATGCCATGAAAAGTCATCATCACTCTGAAAATAATAACGAACTTCCCTTCCAGGTGGACTTCGGCTTTGCCAAGTATGTGCGTCCGAATGAGAAGACCAACACTTTTGCAGGCACACCCGAGTATGTGGCGCCCGAGATAATACTGGATCGCGGCCACGATCGGTCTGTGGACTATTGGGCTCTGGGAATTCTGATATTCGAGCTGCTGGTGGGCAAGACGCCATTCCGTGGCATCAACCAAATTAAAATCTATCAGCAAATTCTCAGCGGCATCGATGTCATCCATATGCCCTCACGTATTCCCAAATCGGCCCAACATCTGATCAGACATCTGTGCAAGCAGCTGCCTGCTGAACGCTTGGGCTATCAGAGACGCGGCATTGCAGATATTAAGAGACATAGCTGGTTCGATAGTTTGGATTGGACGCGTTTAAAAGAGAAACAGTTGCCCTCACCCATCAAGAGACCGCTGAAGAGTCCCACAGATTTGCAATATTTTGGACCGTCGGGTGTGGAGAACGATTATGAGCCGCCCGAAGAGTTGAGTGGCTGGGATGTAGATTTTTAGTGGCGTGTTGGCACTCAATGACAAAGATATTGCTGACAAATAATTGGTACTCTTCTGTAGATATGTGTTTTTACATTAAGGTGTAGTTTTTAAATGTATGAGTATGTGAGGAAGAAGTATTAATGCAGCTTTAAGCATAAGGATTAATGCATGTAGATTAATTAATTGCAAATAAATTGATATTAATGTTTTTTAAATGTTGTGTGTTTTTACATTTTTCACCGACTAAGGAAAGTGTGTAAGCCCTTTAAACGAGATTAAATAGGTGAATAAATCCTGTGATAATCCGACAGAGCAACTATTTGATTATGTTTTGTAGTGCAACTTTTTCCTGAACAAATCGACACGTTCTCAGCTACTATCTCAACTTGAACTGCAATCTTCTTGCCATCAAGTTGGCAACAAGCGCGCTCACACACACACACACACACACACACACACACACACACACACACACACACACACACACACACAGCACCCACACATTTACTGGAGAGCAAGAAGCAAGCAAACAAACATTTCCAATTAAGCAATTTTCTAGCGAGTTTTCACATAGCCGCTGCCGTCGTGACAAACTTGTCAAATGAAATTTGCAGTCACAAAAGCGCGTAGACTGATTGCACTTTTCACATACATATGTATACATGTATACATGTATGTATGTATTTCTATTTCTGAGAAGCTAAACAAAGTTGTTGCTGTGCTCCGCCAAGATGAAATTGATTGCTACTGAAGGCGTTAAGTCGGCGAGTGTGTATGATTAGACCAGGCAACATCCACAGTACACAGACCAGACAGAGTCGTGGCAGAGTCAAGCTGCTCGGAGACGTCAGGATGCGGCAAGCCGCAGTCAAGCAACAAGACAAGCGACCAAGACTGTCTCCTGCTCATCCTGCATATCCTGCACTCGCTCCACTCACTCCTCCTTCTGCGGCTGCCTAGTAGCTGGCACAAACAAAAGTTTGCAGCACCGTCGTCATTATAGGACGACTGAATGGCAGGATGGCAGAAGTTATTGCCCACAAACTTGTACCCCAGCCCCAGTGTAGCAACTGCTGCTGACATTCATTTGTATCTCACAGATACACATGGAGCACACTACCATGCATGCGAATAATTGTATTGTCTGCGTGCGGCTTTGTGCACTCTGCAAATAGTATGCAAACAGCTATACAGTTTCAATGCGAGTGGGACCATGAAAATGACATAAAGTTTATTGTTTTTAAATAGAATGCTTGTGAAAGGCGAATCGCCCTCGCCAATCCAGCCACAAAGATGATGCACCGTGGATCATTGCTGCGAGAATTTCATATTCTCCTTTTTAAGTGATTCCAGCTTCTGAGAGCTGAACATTGCTAATAAATTGCAGTGTGGGATATTACAAGTAGGTTATAATATTCATTCATATCTTTTCAGTCAAAATCAATAAAAAACAAGAAAGGAATGCTAAAGTCGAGCAATAAAAATACCCTGTACCACCCCACAAAAAAATAAATTAATTTAATTTAATTAAATTAATTTAATGAATTAACTAAATTAAATATAAAATATTCCATACATCAGAATCGTCTCTATGCGTGTACTTGTACATATGTATGTATGCGTGCATTGGGCCTGGTTATATGGCTATAACTTTCTTTCTGATCAACCTATCATAATGATATACGGATATATGTATAATCACTAAGAACTACGGGAGTTATAGAAAATCGTGAATAGGGGGAGAGTGGGGGGGTGCATCGGGAAAATGAACAAACTCGTCCTTTCTCGGGCTCAGGAGAATCTAGATACCAAGTTTAGTTATTCTAGCTCTTATACTTTCTGAGATCCTTGCGTTCATACAGACAGACAGACGGACAGACAGACGGACATGGCTATATCGACTCGGCTTGTCATGCTGATCAAGAATATATATACTTTGTGGGGTCTGCCACGCCTCCTTCTGTGTGTTACATGTACACTCGCACAAAACTAATATACCCTTGTACCCTTTGGGTACAGGGTATAAAAACTACATTTTTAAATATTAATCTACATTTTTAGATACATTTATAGATAATTGTTAAGATAAATGTTTAAGTGAGTGACTAAGTATTTAATTTTTTAATGCAGAATGACACACTAGTTAAATCTCTTAAAAATTATTTAAAAAAAAAACGTAAATCCCATAAATAATTGTATATATTAACAAACCTTAAAATAAACAACGTTCTGGCATAACACCTTTAACATTTTGATCGTTCCTATTACTTCATTTTAAATTAGCAATTTCGACAACTTTTAGTAGAAAGAAGAACATTCAAAATTAATCTATTAAATTGTTGGATTCTAATATTTTATGTCGTGATTATTTGATTTTTGCCACCGTCCGTACTTATCTGCTCGCAAATTTGAAATACAGTCAAGTGCAATTATGTTGACTAAATGTGCTTACTTATGTGGTTTGGCATTGTCTAGCATATATAGTACATATGTACAAACAATATCTATACAAATACAAACTGGCTGCATTTTCAATTTACGGTGAACTTGAATTTAAAGCAGACGGAATAAATAGGTTTCCGTTGACAGAGCCATGAAATTATTTATGTTGGCATTCAGCAAAAATAAAACTTTAAAGTTGATGGATTTTGCGTGAACGAAGTGATATATATTGTATATATATATATAAGGGATATTTTTGATGAAAATAAATTTTAATAATACCAAAATAATTTAAAAATTAAAATTATAATTTAAAAAAAATAAACATAATGCAGAATTTTCATTATACAAAACAATGAATACAACATTTTGTTTAAATGAAAAAAAAAAACATAAAAAAATAAACAATAAACATTAAACCAAAATTTTTCTTAATAATATAATAGTAATATAATTCCAATAATATACCCATATTATTCCTTAAAGAAACCAGATATTTAAATTCCAGACTTTAGTACTATATTTAAACACATTTCAGTTTTAATTAATAGCAACTGTTAGATCTGATGTAAAGCTCACTTCTTGTCTATATTATATATGCATCTTAACTCAGAACACAATGAAAAGTAAAAGCCTGAACTGAAGAGAATAATTAAAGCAAGGTGCTTTGGTACATGAAGTTGGGGTGGCGCCGTTCAAATTGTCCTGGATACGTGGCAGTATTCAGGAATGGCATTTCCTTCCTTAAAAACAAAAGAATGCTGTCATTAACTTCATGTCTAGTCTACACCCACAATAGAAAAGCTAAAAACGCCAACCGGTGATGTGAAAAATCCACAGAAATAATAAATGATAATTGGTAATAATATGACCCTCTACCTTCCTTCCGCCGACAAAAGGAAAAGCTAGAACAATAATATGTTAGGAAATCAATAAAAAGAGGAGGATGGGAAAAATGAGAAAATAAAGGCGACAGAATTTGGCCACAGTTTAAGTTCCTCGGAAAGCGACGAACGTACCAACAATTTCCGCTGCCGTCTGGCAAGTGCAAAATTTTCATTTTCCCAACGATTTTCTTAGACACCAAAACGCTGACTTTGCCAGCATTTCTGCGCGACTGCACAGCAGCGACAAAGTTAGACGAAATGTCATCATATCCGTTGAGAAGCTGTGCGCTCAAGCGAGCAGGACGAGTGCGAGTGTGAGTGCGAGTGCGAGGACGAAGAGCGTGCGTAATCATATTGCCCAACGCCTAAAGGATTGCAGAATTGGAGGACTGGATGATTGGGTGAGTGCCTTGCAAAGCCTTTTTTATTTGCCCATAGCCTCGAAAAATATTGTGCCTCGTCAAAGGCGTGCCGCCATGGGCGGGGCCAGACCATTGCCTACGGTTCTTAAACGAAGCGTGAAATTGTTAAATGAGTGCGAACGTCTAGAAGGCGAACAACGGGCGTATCTGACTGCCTCGTCACGCTGCCATGTTGACCATTTTGATGGCGACGCCTGTGCTAAATTATTGATTAAGAAAAAGTTGGTGGTTTGTTTTTTTTTTGTGGGGCTTTTTTGTCGTACACGTCTATTCAATTTCTCGTCGTGTGCATCAAATAGAATTGAATTCAATTTTGGCTAGCCTTGAATTTTATTGGAATGTGTTACCCATTTTGTCTTTATTTGCATTTTTTCTTTCGATGAATGGCTAAATATTATAGCTTGCTGTAATGTAATGTGAAAGCAAAACGGCACAGCACAGCAAAAATGAGGATAAATAAAAATATTAGAGAGGTGACGGGCGACAACCGGAAAGAGACAAGCGAGTGACTAGAGAAAACTGAAGTAGAATTTATACCTTGTAAGAAATAATAAAGGAGCAGCCGTGTACTGCGAAAAATAGACTTCTTACGATACAGCATTGGACGCATTCTAAGGCATCTAAGGCATCTAAGGCAGGAACATTTAACGTGTGGATATATAATGAGAATAGAAACCTCAATTAACCTATTAATTTGTAAAGTGTAGATTTCTAGCATGTACGCTTTCGACGCCTGAATGTTGTAGCTTTAGAATTTTTCATTTCACTCCCTATATCCGACACCAGTCATATAACCAAAATGAGGCCAAGATTTCAATGCAAGCCCATGTCCATTTATCAACACTTTGACTTGCACCCGAAAAGTCACACAAACATTTACTTAACCCTTACACATAATCTCATACTCTTAAAGTCATCATTCGTGCTTTCACTTTTCTCCTGCACTCAACATTTTCCAATAGATAGAAAAGAGCTCTTTGTATATATATGTGTGTGTGTCTGTACGTGTGTTCGCAAAATCTAACAAGCAATTTGCAAGTCGAGTGTGTTTGCGTGCTTGCTTACAATTTAAACTTTTTGCCAAACTATCAGATCCAATAGGCCTAATATATATGCATAGCCTTACACATGCTAAAAGCTGCCGAACAACTTTCAATTGCTCACATGAAAGTTTTGCCCTCAAAATCGACATCCACAACGACATACAAATGCAAATTTTTGATTTTTTTCTCCTTCTTAAACGACAATCTGCTGCAGGCCAGCAGCAGGGCTACAAACAAAAATTAGACCCTAATCAATGGGACTATTGTTTACTTACAACAAACACACACACACAAAATAAAAAGGGAAAAGGCTCACACACACAAGGCAAACGACTTCGCAACCAGTTGGGGACTTCAAAAACCTATGCATATTTATTATGCATATGTAAGTTGTAAGTTGTCCCTCTCTCTACTCCTCTAT